CTTAGGGGACTTAGGGGAGGTGTGAGGAGGTGGATGAAAAAATTGTTGAGGTTCTCACCTGGACTAAAGCAGCGATGGCACACAGTGGTCCAGTGCTGCTGATCTCCTGGAGCTGAGGACTGAGGAGGACGGAGGAGTCACAGGAACCTCCTTCAACCTTCATCTCCATCAGGGAGTAGGTGTTTCTGGCGCTGTACTCCACCAGGTTAATCAACAGACCCAGACCCTGGACACAGGAGGTCATCAGACCCTGTCAATCATCTGAGGCCGTGTGTGTGTGTGTGTGTGTGCGTGTGCATGTGTGTGTGAGAGACTCACCAACACACAGATGTCAAACCTCTGCTCCTGTGGGAGGAACTGAGGAACTCTGAGAACACAGTTCAGGGCAGTGATCATCAGATCCTCCTGTTCTCCAGTCTTTGTGCTGCCCCACTCTGAACAACACACACACACACACACACACACACAGGTCAGACCACGTCAGCGTGTGACAGCACCACCTGCTGGCCGTGTGGGTGCCTCCTCACCGTTGTCGTGCGTCAGGTTGAGCAGCACTCCGATCACGGCCCTCATACAGTTCTCCACAGCTTTACCAACCACCGCTCCTCCTGAGTTCACCTCCCTGTTGTACCTCCTGATCAGCTGCTCACACCTCCTCAGGGCCCTGAGAGAAGAGGAGGGGGAGGACCAAAGGAGTCAGGGGCCGCGGGGGACAGGAGAGAATGGATTTTATGAATTTTATGAATATACCAATGAATGTCAATATTATGAATAAACAAAAAGAAATCCAATAAATTAAGTCAATACTCAAATGGTTCCTGTGCACTGGTGAACCAAAGCAGCACACACACACGGTCACACACACACGGTCACACACACACACACACACACACACACGGTCACACTCGGACAGATGCAGGAGGTTGATGATGTCATTAACCAGATTAGAGTCAATGAGAGTGAGGGACATCAGGACACAGGAAGTGAGGAGACGAGTGGAGGGTCAACTCAACACCACCTCCACAGTTTAACACACGCAAAATAATCTGTGTTAATCCAACAATGTCCAAGTAAAACAGCCATGAAAACTCTGACCTTCCTTCAGGTGTTAGGTTGGACCAGCATCACGTCACCAGGTCGCCCTCGGTGCCGTAACCTCAGCTTCAAACCATTCTGTTCACAAACCTTGACTCCGTTGTTCCTCCTCCTTTAAACCTTTCAATGTTTTCCACAGATTTCTGACTAAGCTTGACATCTTTCTGTGTCATTGTTGAAATTCTTTGGTGGAAATCAAACTGATTGTGTGTATGAAACCACGTCTGTCCGTGTGTGTGTGTGTGTGTGTGTGATTGAATTAGTGCTGCAGGCAGCTGGGGGTGAGCTGGGGTTAAAACTGAGAGGACGATAGCAAACAGTGACAAAGACGAAGAGGAAACAGGAGCAGACACACACACACACACACACACACACACACACACACAGAGAGAACAACAACAGGAGTGTGTGTTTGGTTCTCCGGCCCACCCCCCAGTCCTGACAGTTAATCGAGTTAACGTGGGGGACAGCTGAACATTCAGACTGTGTCAGCCGCTCAAACAGCAGCTCTTTGTGGACCTCCCTCCTCCTCCCCCTTCCTCACCCTCACTGCAGACGTCCTGCAGGGGGCGAAGGTCCGGTCACACGGAGGGTGAAGGGGGCGGAGCCGAGAAGTGAAGCGACACGGCGGTGACATTCAGCCGAAAACGATGGATGAAAATCTAAGAAATCGGCCTTTGGTTAAGGGTTCAGGTCAAAGGTCAAACAATTCCTCGGGTGAGGAGGATCACAGGTGCGTGTTTCCTTCTCCCTCACTTTCCCTCCTCACATCCTGACTGTATCCGAGGTCAGTGCTGTGACTGACAGGAGGTCACGACCAGGAAATTGAACCACAAAAATCAGACCATGTTTTTCATAATGATTGTCTGTAACAACAGGTCACAGTCTCACGGGGTCGTCTGGTTAAGGACGTGACATCATGTGCTGGAGGTGGACAGGCTGCCCCTCTGTGGACAAACTGAGACGTAGCTTCACTACTTTCTAACTCTTTTCTGTCTCTGACCTTTAAATGACCCGTCTTCAAAGACACGAAGGAAAAATAAAAGACAGCAGAAAACCTGAGGGTCGACTCCACCCACTGGATCACAGCTGCCAAGACAGGACAACGAGACGGAGCGGCTGAAGACAGACGTGTGGAGGAGCGAGGGAACTCACCTGGCTGAAGAGATGATGAGAGAAGAGTCTTTGTAGGCGATCAGGTAGTTCTGGTTCTCAGGGTGGTGGACCGTGACCTGGATTAGACCAACACACACATTTTTAGAAGACTATGTGAAGTCATCTGAACAAGTGTGTGTGTGTGTGTGTGTGTGTGTGTGTGTGCGGTGGACTCACACTCTCCAGGACCCGTAAACACCTCTCGGCCCCCCACAGTGAGGAGCCCAGCTTCTCCTCATCCTCTTGGTTCAGGTTGTCCACACATTCTTTCACTGCAGAAAAAAATAAGATAAAATAATTATAATTAAATGATAAAATAATAAAAATATATTTTTTGGCCACGCCTACTTTTAAACCCCACCCTGACCTTTGTCGATGATGTGGTCCAGTCCTCCCAGCAGCCTCAGCTCCTCTTTGAACCAGTCTCCTGCTCTCTTTGAGGTCAGAGACAACAACGTCTCCATGGCCAGGTGACCCGTCTGCAGGGACAGGACAGACGCTCAAACCACATACAACCACTAGATGGCACTCTTCTATGGACCAACTCTGAGCCATCTTTGTTATAAACATTTTGTGACCAAGATCTGAGTTTATGTGTAGATTATTATTGGGCTAATATTTAGCCTTTAATGAATGAACTTTTATTTACCTACAGAAAACTGTCCGTGACTAACTTTCATTTGGCTAACTTTTAGCTTCAGTCCTCTATTCTTCTGGCTAAGACAACATTTCACTGCATGCTTTTCTCTGACATAAGTGACCGTTAGTGGTTAGCCTCAAGAAGCAGGTCAAGAGGATTCTAGGGTCAAACTGCAGCTCTGAAAGGTCATGTGACCCGACTGTCCGACTGATGGACAAGATAAAAAACAATTTGCATTTGTTTTTTGTTCTTGCTGAAAAATTCCCTCCTGAGCTTTTGTAGCTCTTCCAATAATATCTACTGTACACACGTGTAGGAAATGTGTGTGTGTGACTCAGTGTGAACTGCACCGTGATGTTCTGCAGGTCCAGGTGTTTGTTGTGCACCGTGTCACACAGCTTCCTGATCCTCTCTTTCATCTTGGCAATTTCCCGGGCGCTGAACTGAGCACTGGAGTCAGCCACGGCCCCGCTCCCCTGGTCCTGGTCCTGGTCCAGCTCCAGGAGCCGGATCATCAGGTCCAGACAGGAGCGGTCCAGGTCCATGTTGAGGCGGTCTCGACTCAGGATGTACATGAGTGAGGCGGTGCACAGAGCCAGAGTCTGAGGAGAGCAGACGGTGAATTATTCACAGCTTCTTCATCAGTTCGTCTGCTCTGGTGTTAGGATGAAAAACATGAACAACTTCACAGAGACCACAGTCAATAATGTCCAACTGGACCACACGCTGGTCTGAGCACCAACACTGACTGTCAGTTCAACATGGACCACAGTCCAGACTGGTAGAACAGATGTGTAGGCTGTCAGTCCTACCGGGTGTTGAGGGGCATCGTTGAGGGTCTTGAAGACCTGGGCCACTTTCCCACGAGCCCGCAGGTGCATCCTGAAGCTGGGCATCGCACAGCGGGTGGCGAGACTGATCACACTGAGAAGGAGAAACGTCAGAGGATTAAATGGAAGAAAAGAAGAAAAAAAAAGAACCTGAACTTTAGCTCTGAGAACTAACCAGCGCCCTCTGCAGGCTCTCACCTGAGGCAGCGTGTGTTGAGCGGCTGTCCGCTCTTCACGCCCGTGGCCAGATACTCAAAGTCGTCAGTGAACTCCTGGTTCTCTCCGAACTCCACCACGTCATTGAAGTGCTTCACGTGCTGCACCACGGTGTACAGCTGCAGACACAGAGACAGGGGGCGATAGAGTGAGCGGTGAGGTGTGGGTGTGAACTCGTACAGTGACAGAGCAGGTCTCTCTACCTCCTTGTGCTCCTTGTGACATTTGATGGTGGTGACGGTGTCCTGGTACAGATCAGTGGGCACGGTGACACACTTGGTGATCTTGGGGGGAGGAGGCGGAGCCTTGAAGACGGCGTCGTCCTTGGGACCTTCAGGCTGCTCTTTGCTGGGTCCTGCTGTTGACGCTGTGGTCTGAAGGAACGACAGGGAGACGACTGGTCGTCAGTCGACATCGACACTAAAATATTTCTGATCCAAGTCGTTTCCTACTAAACTTTGAATGATCGAAATATGAAAGATAAAAACCAAAACCAAATACTGGAGGACACTTACAGGGGACGGCTGCGTCCGTGAGTGTCCAGGCGGCGGCTCCTCTTCACTGTCCACCGTCCAGTGTCTGGCGTTATAAACAGCTTTGGTCGGAGACTGTGAGATGAAGAGGACAAACGGAGTCATGTCTGTGAAGGCTGTTCTAATGTAACGCAGAACAATGAGACAAACGTGTCTGAAGGGAATGGAACATTTCAGGTCAGTTCATCAACGACACCTGAGCTCCTGTCAACAATCGATGGAGAACTTAGAGAATGGAGAAGTCAATTTAGAACTTTAGAGAAACTCCTGAAGCTGAAGATGTAAATACAACTGAAGAACAAGAGAAGGGGGGGTGAAGGGAGGGGGGGGGGGGGGAGAGAGGGGGGGGGGGGGGGCACTGGAGTAACTTTGGAACCAGGACGCTTTTGTTTTGGCTCCACTTCTGTCCTGTTTTAAGTTCCTGCCAAACCTGTGGTTACCAGGGTTTTAAACACAAAACTGTTGACAAGGATGAGAGACAGAGACAAAGAATGGGAGAGAGAGAGAGGGAGAGAGATGTGTGTCTATGCATGTGTTTTTGTTCATGTTTATGTGTGTGTGTGTGCTCCCTGCAGGGTTAATAAAATGAGACAAAGAGCAGCTTTGGTGAGGACTTGGACCATCAACTCTCTGGATTAGAGCCTCCTGCAGGAACCTGGACTGACTAATGGACTGACGGGGGAGTGGGGTTACAGGAAGGGGGGAGAGGACGAGTGACCTCATCCAGACCAGATATTAACTTCTTTGGGTGAACTTTACTATAAGTTCACCCTACTCTGCTCCAACAGATGGCGATATATCACCCTTGCAATGGTTGGTGTCGCTGTTCTGCCTGTTAGCTGTTAGCTAACAGTTATACATATAGTAGGGTTGAGCAATATAAAGTCCATCCATTAGTGACTGTACTGTGACCCAGACTGTAGGGGCTTTACTGCCCCCTGCTGCCAACAAACAACACTGAGAGTCCTGGACGATCATCTATGAAACCAACCAATCACATGGCAGAAGAATCTCCAGGACGGATTATGGCGAAACCAACCAATCACATGGCTGTCACGCAGAAGAATCTCCAGGACGGATTATGGACCACATCTCACAGCTCTAACATTTAACAAGTCATGACACACAGACACCAGTGAGGGGCGCTGTGATAACACCTGTTCACTTGCAGGTATTTCAAAAGTATTCTGTTTGGATCAGGTTTCTTAGGGACACTCATAATTCTACTGACCTCCAGCCTGGCATGTTCAATGTCACTGTGTGTGTGTGTGTGTGTGTGTGTGTGTGTGTGTATGTGTGTGTGTGTGAGACCTTTTTCTGAGCACTGAAGATTCTCCGGAATGTGTCGGCAGGATTCTTCTCCTGTGTAGGTTTCGGCTGCTTCTGCCTCTTGGGGCCGCAGGCCACCACCTTGAGCCCCTCCTCAGAGAAGTCCAGAACATCTGCAGACAGAAGAGGAGAACCCTGTGATGTCACCATCTACAGCCCCTGGCCCAGGCCTGACGCTGCTGTCACTGTCATTATCTCCATCTGACTCTCTTCACCTGCTCCTCCTCGCTCTCCTTTTCTTCTTCTACTTCTTCTCTCCCCTTTCTTCTCCTCTTTCTTTGGCTCCTCACCTTCTGTGACGCTGTTTTCTCTCCTCTCTGATTTCTTCTTGTTCCCCACAGCAGGAGGTTTTTCTGGGTTCTCCAGCCTCTCGAAGGGGTCAGGAGGTTCGGACGTTTCTTCTTCTTCTTCAGCTTCCACAAGTTCAGACTTGGTTGCTGAAATCTTCTTCTTCTTCCTCCTCCTCCTCCCCCTGGATCTGTCATCGTCTTCCACGCCGTCGCTGTCGCTCATGTCGTCAAAGCCGAAGTATTTGATCTTGTAGCTGGAGGCGTGGTCTGTGCTGCCGTCGCTGTTCGCCTCCTGGTGCACGTCAGTGTCACTGAAACCAAACAGGTCCAGCTTACTCTCCTTCTTCAACTTGGTCTGGGTCTGTCTGCACCTGTGGAGATGACGGCATGTTTCAGATAACAAGTACGTTAGCACTTAGCAAGCTAGCTTCTTTATATATGTATATATATAACATATATATATATATATATGATTCATTTGAGGTCTCTGTTTAAGGCTAACCTTTAGACATTTCTGGCTATCTTTTAGTCTCTGTTTAATTTGTCCCTCACCCTGTGTTCTGTTGCTCCGTCTTCTTCCGTTGCCATCCTGCTTCTCCAAGATCTGTTGCGCTGCCTGAAGCAGCAGTACTGCTGCCACTTGGGGGTGCTGTGTCGCTGCTCAACTCTTCCACTGTTCTGTCCTGAATGGTGACATTACACACAGACAGAGAGGAAGGGTGTAGCACCGTGTAGTCCCTCGTCCTGCCCCGCCCTCGGCCACCGCCCCTGCCGCCGTCGGACGAGGGTTTGGAAACACTACAATCCGACCAAGAGCTCGCACAGTCCTGCGCTTTTCCAGGGCCTTGTTTGTTTGGCCTCCTGTACGTCCGACAGTTTGAATTCCTGACCAGTGTTGATGAGGACGAGGACGATGTCTGAGTGACTTGGGACGTCTCCACCAGGAAACCAGAATCCCCCCCCGGGTCCTCCGTCTCAGCGGGGGTCTGGAGATGGGGTGGAGTCGGCCGCTTCTCGTGCCGAGTTTGTACTAGGTCACAAGAAGCGGCAGCAGTGCCTGCTGAAGCCCAGGAGAGCGTGGGGGCGGGGTTACGAGGTTCCTGACTGGGTGACGGGGGGCGCAGACCCATGATGGCGTCCCAGGAGTCGTAGGTGGACTCGGCCTTGGACCCTGTCTTTAGGGTGGTGGTCTGAGCCAGTGGCTTCTTGTCACTTTCTGAAGCATTTTGGTACCATGAGTAGCTGTGCTGCTTCTCTGGTAATGACACAGAAGTCTGCTGCCTCCCTGTGGTGAAGAAAGGAAGCAACAATTAACTAATGAATTCAATAGTTTCTAATTAATTTTGTATTCTATACATTACAAGCTAAAAATTTTAAAAAATGTACAGGTTCAGGAGGGGGCAAGAGCAAGACAAGCTATAGTGCTCATTACTGACCTCTACTGTCCATTTGCATGGTCATTTTAATGAAAGTAAAAAGCCTTCTGTATTATTTCACTCAAGAGAACAATACAATGAATTAATACATAAAACAAGAACAAAAAAACCCCAAAAGATTCACTATTTTATAGGACGTTGATGCAGTGGAGAGTAAAGACCAGGCAGTGAAGACCCAGGACAGACTGTATGAGACTTGTGGAATATAAATCACTCTTCATTTCATCAAAAACGGCATCTCCTGAAGTTAAAATCAAATAAAACATTCAGACAGAATCAACAGACTGGTACCAGTGGGTCAGAGCTCTGAGAGTTAGAGTTTTTTGCTCAAATGTCTCCATTGTCCCTGTGGTTTGCTGCAGCAGTGACCCAACACTGGCTTACAGCTACAACGGTCAACGGTCGGGCTGCCGAAGTTCACGCAATAACACCAGTCACAGGAAACGACTTTGACGCCACTATATTTTGACACAGGAATTACACACTGAGCTGCACCAGGAAGTGCTGGTACTGGTACCTCCATCAGTCCCAGATCAACTACTAGTACTAGTTTTTATTAACATCTTCCAATAAAAAGAACAGAGGAAATGAACAAACTACTGTCGTCACACGTGCTGAAACGTTTCAGACAAAGTGCAAAGCATCATGGGGGATTCTCCTCCCATAGTCCAACAAACTACAACTAAGGCTGTCAATTGATTGACTGTGATTTTTATTTCTAATCTGATTAGTCCTGGGGTGTCCATGGACTGATCATGATTCACCATAACCAACTGTGACTGGAGTTAATCCCAACTTATATGGCAACATTTCTGGAGAAGAACAATTATCAACAGCAGGTAGAGATCGGTTCTGTTTTAATCTGTGACTAATCCAAATGATGATACGGTGGAACCTCGGTTTTTGAACTCCTGAAGTTTGTTTGTGAACCAAAGTTTGAAACTAAATACACAAAAAATAATTAGAGCTAACAAAAAAAAAATAAACCAACTGAATAAAGAATAACGCTACAAAAAGAAAAGGAATTTTCATTCATCCTTACTGGAGCTGAAGAGTCGTGATTGTGAATTTTCACCCTTTCAAAACGTACATTTATGACAGTCCTGTCTACAATGTCTTTGAGGTATCAGTACGTCCCAGATTATTCAGGGGAATATTCTGGCCTTGATGAACAGACATTTGAACATATTTGTCAACAATCGTCATAAAAGCAAACGCTTCTTTAAGGAAAGGAAGGAGAGTGAACTCCTTGTCATTGTGACACAGCTCACCACTGCACACAGACAAATGTGAGCTCTGCTTTAACCCATCACCAAAGTGAACAGTGGACAGCTTCTTTGAGCAAGTGAGTGGGGGGCGGTGCCATGCTCAGAGCACCTGGGCAGTTGGTGGATTTGAACCTGCAACCTTCCAGACCCAAGTCCACTTCCTTCCTAAGCCACCACTGCCCCAATAAATACTGTGGTCAAACTACATTTTTATTAACGAGAACAACAGAGATCATAACTACTGATAGAACCACCTGTACGACTGAAAACAGGACACACACACACACACACACACACTGACATACTTAGACACAGGAGAAATGGAAGGTGGGCTGTGACCCACTAACCTTCCCACTGCTGCTGCTGCTGCTGTTGTTGAAGCCTCCTGTGGTTTTTTTGTTGTTTGCTCTTCATTTTAAACCCAGACAGAAACTTGTTTTGCAGCATCACATTAGTGAACATCTGTATTTGCACAGGTTTTCAAACAGGATGTCGGTGTCATCACACTGACAGTGCGTGCTGTCTTCATTTTATCACGGAGTTTGACTGAGCGCAAAAGAAAATGGGTCCAGCAGGACTGTGTGAGTCAGTGTGGACAGTCAGCTGCGGTGTCTCACACACACACACACACACACGTACCTATCATCTACTGCGACCACTGCTTCTGTTTGTTCAGTCCTACTTTGACAACGTCGCAGCCGCGTCTCTACAGACGGAGGTTCAACCTCTGCACCAGCTTTCAGAGACCAAACAGACTTTGTCCACTCAGCATGTCCACCTGGGCCTTTGACTCACTACACTACAGAACACCGTGAGGTCACTGTTGTCTTCTACTGTGGCGTTAGGCAGCCAGGGTTGGATGATGACAGATATGGTTCAACTCAACCCAGTGTTGAAAACTTCCCTTCAGTTCATACTTGACTCTAGAACATTCAGTTTCTCACAGCAGAGACAGACAGTGACTCCAGTCTCGTCACTGGCTCTGCCTGTTCAGACAATCCAGTTGAAGTAAATCTGCTGCAAGAACGGCAGGACATTTTTGTCCTCGTCATTTAGAAGCTCCTTTTCATCTTGATTTCTGCTGCTTCCATTTTTAACACATTAGATTATTATCCATCAGGAAAAAGCCTTAATTAAAAAACATTAAATGTAAACTTAGAATGTAAAAACATCCTGTCTAATACTGTTGTACTCTGTGTACTCTTAGTGTCACCAAACATGCGTTTACAGAGTCAACATGGCTGCTCCCAGTAAACAGACGAGTCAGCGCTCCGTTCAACTTGGTTTGGTTTGTGCTTCTGCCAGCTGGAGATGCTGGTGTCATTGACAGGTGGTCGTCAGCTGGGGGCGACACCAACTGACTGTGACGGCAGCTACGGCCTAAATGATAAGACCTGATTGGTCCTATTAGATTCCTCCCAAAGTGACTAGAGTCAAAGTAAAAAGTCAATCGCAGACGAGACGTTTCCTAACGCACTAATGATGGTGGTAAACAGGATGACAACAAAGTACAATAATTAATCATGATTAATCATGAGATTGTCCATACATAACTGGACTCAGGACAGGACACACGTCTGTTGACAAATGTGACTGTTTTATGTCAAACGTCTGCTTGTTGTGACTCTCTCAGCCCTACGTACGTCAGTTCCTAACAAAATCAAACTTTTAAAATCATGAACTCTTGGTGAAAATATTTTTCTAAGGAACTAGAAAAAAAAAAAAACTTCACTGCATCAAATTCCCAAAAAAAAAAGCTGCTGGACTGTAACACCATGTACTTCAACAAGATCCAGGACCAGGACCAGGAGTCTGTAACTCTGATTCTACTTTTCACAACCAACACAAGAGCAGCTTCATCAGAACCCATTCAGTCTCCGTGTCTATAAACAAAGAAACAACAACTATTGGAGAAGAAATGTCAAATGTCTTCATGTTGAGGGACAGATCATCTCACTTCTTTCTGATGATCACGTGGCCCAAGACCCTTGACTTTAACTGTTTTTTTTTTACCTTCCCCTGTGACGTAAACTAATTCAGGAACATTTCATATTTGGGTTCTTTAAAACAGATCAAAGCTAATTTACTAAATATTTTTTGACATGTTTTCTTACCTATGCTCTTACTGCTGCTGCTGTTAAAGAACCGTGCTGTGTTCTCCGCGGGCCTCGGGTGGCTCTTCTCGCACGGCAGCCATGACAGGTCTTTGGTCGGCCCCTGGAGGTTGGACCTGCTTCCAGTGTCCAGAAAAGTGCTTGGTCTCTCTGCTCTTGGTGGTTCTGCAGAAGATGGCTTCACGGGTGAAGGTTTAGTGCTGCCGTTTCTAGACGACACAGGTTTTGACTCCTCGTCGCTGTCAAAGCCAAAAGGATCCTCCAGGCCATCATCAGAGGGGCGGGGCTTTTTAGAAACGTCCAGCACAGAGACATTCTTGGTGGCACTGGGGCGTTTGGAGCCCACCTTGGCCTTGTAGGTGGTGTCGCCCCATTTGGTGCTGAGGGTGCCCCTCTTGGTGGACAGAACCTCGTCGAACTTGGACGTGCCCTCTCCGCCCTTTCGGCTGTAGGTTTTACCAAATCTGGACGTCATTGTTGCTTCTGGGTCATATTCTCTGCAAAAAAAAAGAGTGAACACTGAAACTGTCAAAGTTACAAAATCAATGGCAGAGGTCAATAATCGGTCTCTCCAATAAAATAACAATGTCAATTCTTTTTACTTTCAAGAATGAAATTGTTTTGTAACGTGTATGACTTTAATGAGCAGTAATTAACTGCTAATTTGCAACCTTTAATCAGAAAGGCTTTAATCTCTTTAAAAGAGCCTTGATCCTTAAATGCTTTACTTTTTTCTTTCATCAATTATATCTAGGAAATAAATACAAACTGGCACTGAAGCTAAAGACAAACAAGAAGGAAGAGGCAATCACAACAGGACAAAGATGCAGCAGCAGCTTAGAACAAGGACCAGAGAGAATAAGAAACAGAGACCTGGAACATTCCGGAACACTTAGGAACAGTTGATGGATGCAGTGAGATGATTGGACCCCTGACATGTGTGGAGGCCTTTTTATGAGGCCACAGACAAAACTGAGACAATTTATAAAGACAAGGTGTTTATGATGCAATAAAAGGACGGTCTGGAATCTCAAGATAACAGAGATGAAGGACTGTAATATGTTTTCATGCAACATTGACGTCACAAGAAAAGCATTCAGTAGCTAGGACATATAACAGACTAATCACAGGCTGTTAGTCCATAAATAAGCCAAGGGTCTCTGTGTCAGCCTGTAAAACATGAATAAACAATATTCATATAAGAATATTCTATAGTAAACTGAATATCATTTAAAAAAACTAAATCGGTGACATTAAAGCATCACCTTACAAAGGTTGAGGAACAACGGTCACTGTTTTCTATTTTTCAACATTTTAAGGGAAAAAATTCCTAGTTAACTAAATGTAATGAATAGTAGAACAGTCAAAAATCTGAATTATGAAGTCAACACTGAGGTCATCGTCGTTATACAAGTGAATTGTTTGTGTAACAAAATACCTTGTTTAATTGGAGGTGATGTTTCACAACATAAAAATCGTGAGTGCAGACGGCTTTCTTTGACAATGACTTTATCTGCCATGAAATTTTAACTGCACGTATTTGTTATGATCAGGGAAATTCCGTCATGACCGCCAATTAACTGCCTATGATTTATACTGACAAAATCAACAGAATTTGTTCATGTGACATTTTATTTATTTATTTTCTGAATAATCCGCCGTGTGGTGTTTATATAAAGCTGTGTGAACGTGTGACAGTCAGCAGCTCCGCAGCTTCACTCATTCGCAGCTGCTTTGACAAAACAAGGCTAACGCTAGATAGCTGCTACTCAAAGCTATCGTTAACAAGGTGTTACCAGTGCTGTCAGTACATGATAGCAGACAGATAACGGTCAAGAAACACATAAAGGATTGAAGCAAATGATGAAGAAGGAATTTACAAACATATATGTCAAGTTGTTACATGATTTTATTCAGCATTGGCTCATCGTTTAGCCCTTAGCATTGGCCACAAATCCGATGACGGCTAAGCTGAAGCTAATAGCTAACAATAAACAAACTGACATCGTGTTGCGTAAGGAAATTCTACCATCAACAAGTTAATATGAAAAAGGACATGATGTCTACATTTTTAAAAACTTACTTGGTGAGCTAAAGGGCCGATCCACTTTAAATAAAACAATCTGCAGCAGCGGTTGTTCGCCAGGCTCTGGAGCGGAGCGTCTGCGGCGGCCTGCTGCTTCCTCTGCTCCTAGTTGCTTTATTGCTAAAAACAAGCCTTGAAATAAGTCACTCAAGGTGGATGTATGGATGTGAACGATGCCAGTAAAAGCCGCGGATCCAGAGCGACGACAAAAGAACGATCTGTCAAACTAAAGCGACAAACTGTACTCCTAATATCGGGCTAAAAGCCTCTCGATTGTCTTCTCCGGGTCTCGGACGAAGTCTTCCATTGGCCTCCCCCGCATCGTCAAGATACAATAAAGAATTACGATGTACCGGAGCAGGCAAATCTAGTCAAGAAAATAAAAGCATACATTGACCGCGGTAGTTTGCCTTTCATAGCGTTTTCAAACACAATTAAGAACTTAAATATGATATGTAATCACCATATTTAAATATATTTAACTATGAAAAAACGTTAAACATCCATTAACAGCATAATGTAACTTTTATCGGAAATTTGCTCTATTTTCGGGAACTTGCAAGTCGAATGTGCGGGTTTAAACCGGAGATGGTTGCATTTAATGTCATGAGCTTAACATAAACAGCTTCATGGATGTTATCATTATTAATGCTGTGTTCGCTTTCTTTCACTAAGCTCGTAAAACAGTTCTTCAAGGGTTAAAAAAGTAAACGTAAGGCAAATATATTATTTTGAATTTTGAAATCTGTTTTATGATACGAAACCACTATTAACAGAAATTCACGTTTAACAACGGACTTATATCTAATGTTCAATCTATGATAGAACTTAATACAAAAAATTATCTTTTACTAAAGTGCTAAAAAATTACATTTTATGTTACTTTAAATTAAATAAATTTAAAAAATGATATAACACAATTATAACAATTATAGTAATGGCTGATAATGATATCAATATTAATTTAATGTATGATTTCACTGAAGCTGCCACTGATGATGATGACTATGGTGAAGATAATGTTGACCACAACAATGGTAGTAAATGGTAGTAAAACAGTGATAGTGATGGTGTCAGTGTGTTTCAGCTAAGGTCAGTCCGGTCACTCTGGCATGAAGCCTGGTCTTCTCAAACCTCAGTGATGATCTGGCCTCTCATCTCTGCGTGATGCCCCATGTCCTCCTGTCCCTGTGATCCAATGATGTTTGGAGACCAAACACTGGCACGGTCGCCGTGCAGTGGCATCAAACAGCTCTGGCACACAGCCGTTGGCATCTGGGGAGTCTTCAACAAACAACAATGATGTCTTTGACAGCCAGCAGAAGCAGCAGCAGGACCAGGACCAGGTCCAGGTCCAGGACAGGGACCAGGATCAGCTCTGGCATTGAACACAGAGAACAGGAGCCAAGTCTCTTCACTTCACTGTTCCAAAAGTTAAAGTCCAAAACACAGCAACATTATAGACTTGGATGGAAATCAAAACCTGTTTAGCAATCACTTGTTTGTTTTTATCCCGAGGAGAAAATGTTAAGGTTTTATTCCACAAAGAGCAGATCAGTGTTAGCACAGACTCAGCTCAAGGTAAGCAAAAAAAAAAAGAAAAAAAAAAGAAAGACCTCAAAATAACACATAAAACAATATTAAAAACAACTTGTTTTTACATGGTTACAAAAACATTTACGCTAAAATTTACCAAAGGAGCAGGGGGCGCTCATGTATCGTGTCCCATATCATCAGTGTCAAAATGGTCATATAAGTCCTACTTGTATCTAATACTTTTATTCATGATGCTCCTGTTCTGACACAGGTCAAGGTCACATGGCCTCATTCCTACTCCTGACTCCTATGGACCTCAGCTCCACGGTCTGAGTTCCTGACGCAGATGCAGATGTAGATGTAGATGTGTTTTCAGCAGCTGCATCATTTCCACATCGAAGGCTGGGCGGCAGCGAGCTGCAGAGAGCCTTTCTGAACATGGAGCTGGAGAAGACGTAGATGATGGGGTCCAGAGCCGAGTTCAGGAAGTTCAGCCCCAGGGAGACGATGGTGAGCTGAGTGAATGTGTAGAAGGCGGAGCAGTCCCACGGCCGGTAGGTACGCACCACCCAAACACCAATGGTGGTCACAGTGGTGGGCAGGAAACAGACCAAGAACACGACTACAATGGCGGTGCACACCCGCATGGCCTTACGAATCTTTTCAGGTTTCCCCATCTGCCTCTGCTTCAGGAAGCACGATATCCGGACGGAGCAGAAGGTCAGCATGGCGAGGGGGATCACAAACTCCAGCACCGTCAGAATGCGGTGCATTCCCACCAGGATGATGATGGCCCGCGACGCCTCCTTGTAGGACGTAAAGAAGAAACACTGGGTTCTGTTCCCGCTGCCTTTGATGTGGCTGTAGGCCAACATGGGAACACGAGGACTGATGACCAGCAGCCACACAAAAACCGACACCAGCGCCGCCTGACGCTTGGTCATGGCGTTGAAACGGTGGTGAGGGTGGACCACCTGGAACCAGAAATTGAAATGGAGGTCCAGGAGTTAGACACAATAAAGTAGGGGTGTAGGGAAATATCTATACACTGAAATACTGCAATATTTCATTTAATGATACTCTATCAACATTCTACAGCATTGTATGGGTTTCTTTTTATTAACAATTATCAGTCACATATATTTATGGTACCCCAGGGTTCACCTCCTGGACAAGATCAAATTCCGGTTAGGGAGGTTGATGCCTTCCAGAGGACTCACCACCTGCAGGAAGGTTCACAAGGGGCTGCGGGGGGGGTTCACGGTGCAGTGTGATTTGGGTGGTGGTCATGGAGACTGCCGCCCCCGCGTCCCAGTAATGGATAACCGGACGAAAATGGATGGATGGATGGATATATTTATATATGTTGGTATGGTGTGGTGTTCATTTGATTTTTCTTTAATCTCTTCTCTAGAGATTTCAAATCTGTTCCAGTGTTAGTAACCTCATGTTCAGATGGAACAGCGTTGTGTGTTTACTATGATGACAGTCCTACTGCAATTACACTGGTTATAAAAAACTCAATATGAAAGTTTCTCAAAATATGATAATCTAAAAAAGATCAAATTAGAAAAAATGGATTAAAAGATGAAAAACACAATTTTGTCACAATCTAAGATAATGAGCTAACAAACTGACCGTTCTAAAGGTGGCAGGGTACAACGACCAGCAGCTACAGTAATTAGGCAGCTGAATGGGTGTTGTTCAAACACGTACCTTAAAGTATCTGTAGATAGCCACCACGGTCATGAGAGCGATGCTGGCCGTGCGGTTAGAGAACATCAGGAAGAGGTTGATGCGACACAGGCCGTCACCAAACACCCAGTGGCGCCGGAGCAAGGCATCGATCCTCAGAGGCAGACTGACTAGGGCCAGGAAGTCTGCGATGACTAGGTTGAAGAGGAACAAGGTGTTGGGGTTCCAGGTCTTCAGCTTGAAGCAGAAGATCCACAGAGCCACCAGGTTACCCAGCAGCCCCAGCACCACATCAATGGTCAGCACAGGGGGCAGAATCAAACCCTCCAGCTGGATGCCAACAGGAGGGCACCCACCAGTTCCTCCTCCACCACCTGGAGCTGCAGTGGGCAGCGTTCCATTTAGCTCTGACAACATCTCAGTTTAATGGTCCAACATGAAATTGGGAAAAAATAACTTTATGATGGAGGGTGAGGGTGAGGGTGAGGAGAGCCGAGATTTCAGGACTTCCTTTTTGAATCTTCTTCCTGTTTTTCTCTGTAGAACGAGAGAGAGTATTTGAAACACAGAAGTTCCTCCTCACTTCAGACCAAAGGTCAAATTCATCTCCATACATGTATTTAATAACGTCTAGTTATTTTGCTACATTCTGTGACTTTTCAGTCCTAAACAACACTTTTTTTTTACACAATTCCTACTCTGTCATTATAGCTAGGCTAATGTTTCATCCTGTTCTGCTAACCAAACTAGTCTAACATTATTTAATAAAACTAGTTGTGCTCATTAACTACTAACAGTTTTTAAAGCTTTTGTAGCCATTTGTTTTACTATTCATTGCTGTACTTTTCAATATAAAAGCAGTATTAATATATAAAAATACAAAAGTATACAACAACCAATTAATTCATATTATAAAAGACACAAGATAGAACTAACAATAACATATAAGAATAAGAAGTACAATTAATGTTTAATTTAAACTAAGTACATGTTTAAAGTCTCCATTTTTTATTATATGGTAACAACATGGTAAAAACGTTCAAATGTATCAAAAGGGAAAATTGTACTTTATGTGTCAATTATATATTAATAATAATGAACTGTATAATAAAAAATTAAATAAAAGGAAGAATAAATGACAATCAGATTCTGCACTCACCGATGACAGGAAAGAGAGAATGGGTGAAGTGAAGACTTCCTGTTTCCACCTCTTTAACAGGAGGAAGTTCCTGTCGTTGTTGAAACACTCAAAAATTCCTGTGTTAAGTCAGTTCCTCTAGAAATTCATGTGTTTGCCGAGATTAAAATAAAATAAAAAAACAAACACAAAGTCAACTGAATATTATTTTTTTTAAAAATTCAAGTCCAAACACCAGGTATAATAATACAGTCAACTGAATATTATTTTTTTAAAAATCCAAGTCCAAACACCAGGTATAATAATACTTATAATATTTTTTTGGGTTGTGTTTTGGGGCCAACTGTGGGGGAGGGTCCCTGTCAGTCAGAGAACACACTGTGACGGGCTTTACAAATGTTTCCTCTCAGGGACAGTTTGGAAATCACAGGGTTAACGTTGTCACAGCATGACTCAGCCAGGTCATTCTCCACAGGTGGCGCTGCGTATGATTTATTTCAATGCTACAGGATCAAAACTATAAAGTCTCGAAGATTAGAGACAATTGTATTGGTAATTAATTTGAATTAACTGTTGGGGGCAGTAGTGGGTAAATGGATGCTGGTAAAATCACTGATTTTCTCTATGGACTTTCCAATAAAAAATACAAACATTTTGGTCAAATCTACTCCAGGATTAGACACAATATGGAAGAATGTTTAAACAGAGTCTGCCCCCACACACACACACCAAAGTCCAGTAAATCAGTAACCACAGAAGTTTGTGGTTTGCTACTGCCCCCTGTGGTCAGTTTGAGTAAGTGAGATTAATATGAACAAAGGAGAAGCCAAGATGAGTAAGAAGTATCACATGTGAAGTATATATGACCTGGTGAAGGTAGGTCTGTGATTGGCTGAGGATGGGGGCATCATCAGATCTGTGTGTGTGTGTGTGTGTGTGTACACGTGAACCTACTGTAACAAAGTACTCGCTCATTCATTTACCAATTACTCACCATCTCGGTCTGTGATGGGCGGGAGGAGTGACATCACATGCTGTCTTAAAAACCTCTGTTGGTGATTTTTGGTGTGTGTGAGAGTGTGTGATCACCATGAGGATCACACGGACCCTGTGGCAACTGTCTGGACAGAGCCTTCGTCACTATTATCCTCCTCCTCATCATCAATCTCGTCATCACTTTTCAGCGGGGATCATTGGAGCTCCCTTCTCCAAAGGACAGGTGAGTGTGTGGGTGTCTGTGGGCACCAAACACACAGTGATAGTTCTACTAACTGTATTATTATTATTAACAATGAGAATGTTTATGAGGATGATGATCAACAGTAGTTGTAGTATTTGCAGTAGCGCTTTGTGTATATTCAGAGCCAGTGATCAAGGCACCTTTAAAACACACACTCACTCACATACTGTATACATATATAAAACACAATAAATGAACAGTGTTTGCTGTTGTTTCTCAGCCCAAACGTGGAGTGGAACAAGGACCTGACGTGATCAGAGGAGCAGGTCTGATCCAGAAACTTCAGAAACAAGGTGCTTTTCTCTAATTTGACCAGTGGGGGCATTTGAAGTTCTATGAATTTGAATCTGAGTTCCAGGAATGGATCCAAAGGTCAACGGGCGTTGACACTGTTAAAACATGGTCAGTTTATTTAACCACAGGGAAACAAAACAAAACACAGAGCTGAAGATCACAGGAGAAATATTAACCTGTGAGATATGACAGAGAGTAGGAGACAGGGAAGGAAGGAAGGGAAGAGGTGAAGGAGACAAGGAGGAAGAACAATCTGTTTGGATTTTCCTTTTTCTTTCAGCTGTTTTCTGATTCTTTTAAACTACGGACTCATCTGTGTCCACTTCCTGTATTTAGGATGTGCAGTGAAGGATTATGGGGACCTACATTTCCCTCAAGTGGAGGATGATGATCCTGTGGGCGGAGTCAAACATGTGCGAGCGGTGGGCAGGGCCAATCAGAGGCTGTCTGAGGCGGTGAAGAAGGCAAAGACAGACGGACACTGCAGCGTGGTGCTGGGCGGAGATCACAGGTCAGAGGTCGGAGATTCCTGTGGGAACGATCCATGAGACGACAGTTAGACACAAACATGGTTCAGTGGTGGGCGTATTATTGACTGGACTGTCAATTAACTGCCACAACAACACTGAACGTCAATTATTATCTGACCAAAGTTCTGATCAGATTGATCAGAGCAAGATATTCCTCCAATTCTATTACTAAAGATAAACCTTTTGTATTTTGTGTTCATTTTAATTTTTATATTTTCACATAAAAATCAAATGGTTGAATTTAACAAAGTGACGTGTTGTTACAACATTATTTCACCCAGTCTGGCCATCGGGTCAATCCACGGTCACGCATCGGCCGTCAGAGACCTGAGTGTAGTTTGGGTCGATGCCCACGCTGACATCAACACTCCACTGACCACGTCCACTGGAAACATGCACGGTCAGCCCATGTCCTACCTGCTGCGTGAGCTCGTTTCAAAGGTGATTGAATCCACGGCTCAGATCTGAATTATAGTTTTTTTCCACTTATTTATTTTCTAACATTTTCCTCCAGATTCCTGTTCTTCCGAACCTGTCCTGGCTCCAACCGTGTCTTTCTGCCAGAGACCTGGTCTATATTGGTCTGAGGGACATGGATCCTGAAGAGTCGTGAGTTTCTCACAGTAGAAAACACATCAGCATCGTTGACAAACACAGGAACTTTTGGATTTCTTTCTCATTTGTCAGTTTCATCCTGAACCTTCTGGAAGTGAAGGTTTTCTCCATGGTACAGGTGGATCAACTTGGGGTCGCCCGGGTCATGGAGGAGACATGTGACTACCTCACCGACAAGTAGGCCCCACACATCTTTTCTTGTCACTGTTTAGTCCCTGCGTACTGTAGGTAGGACTGGATCATGACGACACGTTTGTCTCTTCAGAGTGAAGAAACCGATTCACCTCAGCTACGACATTGACGCCATCGATCCTTCGGTTACCCCAGCAACGGGAACGCCTGTAGTGGGTGGACTCACATACAGAGAGGGCGTGGCCATTGCTGAACACCTGTGTCAGACAGGTATCAATGTTCACGTCACAGAGAATAATAACAACAGTACAAAGCCTCATTACAGACACGGGTTAGCCAACGGGAACTGTTACCTTAACAAATTCACCAAAAGAAATGATCTGGTCTGCTCTGGTCTTGATGCAGGTCTCCTGTCGGCTGTGGATCTGGTGGAAGTCAATCCTCTTCTGGGTCCAAACCCACAGGCCGTTCAGTCCACGGTCCACACGGCCGTTGACCTGCTGCTCGCCTGCTTCGGACGCCGTCGTGAGGGAAACCCGCCGTCTGATTATCAACTGCCTGAGCCCTGAGAGAACCCCCCACACACAGACCCCCCTCAAACATTGATTTGACACTTGACTGCATCACCGACCTCTGACCTCCCGCTTTTAACTAACATTGAGAATCAAAAATCTGTGATTAAAGTAATTAAAGAACTGAACTGAAGCTGCTGTCCGTCACTGTTTCAGGATTAAAAAACAACCACAGCCTCAGTTCACTGAAGAGAAGCATTCCAAAACTTTACTAGTCTGTGAAATATTAACACAACTGTGAAAAGGAAGAGCAAATTAAGACCAAACACAGTATAAACTACAATTAAATCTAGGATAAACATTTAAAGTTAGCTAATTTGTAAACAAAAACACTAAATATAGCTAATTTAAACATTTAAAGTTAGCTAATTTGTAAACAAAAACACTAAATATAGCTAACAAAGCAAAATCAAAAAATAACTCAAGATAAGAAATGATTAAATATTGGTAAAATCCAGAGAATGGACTGTAAAACATTCACTATTTATTTGAATAAAGTTTTTCTGAAGTCAGTGTTTTCCATATTTCGATCACAACACACACACACACACACACACACGAGTCTTGCATTGTAGTAGTTAAAAAAAAAAGTGTGGCTGTGTGAATATACTCCACCACTTGTGTGTGTGTCCATTTTTATTTAAAGAATTAGTAAAATTTAAATATATATATATATTTTGCCAGAGATTATGTTGAATATTTTTATCCAGTGTTTTGGTGCTTTTCACAATAAAAGCATTCACATGTTCTAATCATGTTACTGATTATTATATTTACACGTTGATCATTAAATGAACAGGCAGTCAGCTGATCAAAGCTGATCATTAGTCTTAAAAATAAAAAATCTAATTTGTCAAGTCTTTTGGCCTACAGGGGGCAATGTCCTTTCACTTCCCTCAGTAGTTTTCCTGCTGCAGATCACAGCGTCTTCTGAACTCCTGTCCTCGTTCGTGGATCCATTTGTTCGACACTGAGGGAACAGAGAGAGAGAGAGAGTCAGAGGGAGGAAGTGACATCAGCAGCTCAGAGGCATCACTTCCTGGATGACCAGCTCCTCACCCCACTTGCTCCCTAGCAGGACAGGGCAGGCTGCGTGTCTGGTGCGATAATCTCCGTCTCCACTGGAGAACAGGTTGAACCAGAACACGGCCGTTCCCTGGACACAAAAACATGTATGAAAACATTGGGATCATTTTCATTCCGAGTAAAAATCTGTTTTTATGTGAAATATACCTTCAAGGGTTTGACTGCAGCTCCCACATCTGTGAAGACTGTGGCGCCCCCTGCCTGTACGTCACTCATCTGCGGCAGTAGCACAGCAACACAAACAATTTTAAAAAGGGGAAAAACAAAAAACAGATATTGTTTAACTGTTAGTTTGGAACAAAAATGACTTCAAATTAGAGGACGGATGACAAACAGTTAATCCAGAATCAGCTGAAGGTTAGCTGAAGTAACTGTGGGATAGCTAAGATAGCTAACAGCCAGCAAAAAGGACAAAAGGTAACAAAACAATAATAAAACATAGTTAAAGGTTAGCTGAAAAAACTAGCATAGAAAGAAAAATATCCAAAATATCGGTGAAATTAAAATCTGTAAAGGTTAAGAAAATGAAACATAAAAAGCAAAGACTAAGAACTTGGTCAAAAATATTTACTAGTTGAAACATTTGTGCCTAAAGAGAGAAGACTAAAGATAGTTAGAAAAAGTTATGGTTAAAAACCACCTCTGAAAGGGATAAAACAAAGGAAGCTAACGATGACAGACACAGTGGGTACATGATTGGCCCAGGTGCCATAGTTTGGACACCCTTGTTGTACACAGTGGGAAACCAATAGCCGATGAACAATAACAACATCAACAACAGCAGCACTGACGTAGAGCAGCCAGGTGGCGATTCTGTTTCCTGTCCCCAACTCCTCAAAGGCGTCGGGTTCATCTGTCTGTAGGAAGACATCAGGAAGTGGATCAAGGTAGGGTTTGCGTCCCTCTACAGGGTCATTCCCATAAACAAAACCACAAAATGTGAGTGTTTTTTTTATTTACCCGACCAAAGTCAAAGTGAGGCTCGTACTGCCCTCCCACGCCGTAGTTAGCTACCTTTACACACACACACACAGATGTGATCATCAGCAGATGAATTGCCATCTTTGTAGTTACCATCTGTAGGGGTGTTATACCTGGAGGTCCTCAGCTGTGGACATGTCCAGACCTGTAATGTCCTCAATCCTCTGATTGATCTTATCTACCACGGGGTGTTCATGTGCTCCGAGCCACGCACTGAGAGGACACAGAAGTGGGAGGGGTCAGAAGGAGTGATGTCAGCCTGATGATGATGATGATGATCAGATTAACAGTTTTGTTATAATCACCTCTTGGAGACTCTGTAGTTTGCTGTGGTCAGTTTACCAGTCTGAGGGTCGTGAACTGTTGCACGTCTGAGCTGCAAAGTTACATCACATGACAAGAGAGAACGTGGAAGAGGGAGGGAGAGAGAGAGAGAGAGAATGTCAGAAAACTTTTGACTCACTTCTAACTTTTTTTCTACCCACTGACTTTCTTGCCCATATGTGAGTGTGACTGAGTTTGATATTCACCCTCACATTCAGACCCAGATCCTAACAAGGATTAAGAAGTAGACGGTAAACGATTAATTATCTCACAAAACACCTAGCATTGTCAAGCTAATTTCATATATAATGTCTCACAGAGGTGTTGCTAAAATGTAGCTAACACTTTCTAATATGATGATTACAGTTTTGCTGTCGTCACGATGATATTTTCAGGTCTGGTGACAAATAAAAAACAAAAAAACTTTGAGTTAAAATAATGAACCGATGGAGCCGACAACTCCACCCACCCACCCGGGGCTTGGCCAGCTCTTTGACCTTCTCCATTTCTTTGTCTGAGACGATGTCGTGGTAACGGACGATTCTAGGTCGATCCCACTCATCTTCCTGTTTGACCGGACCAATCACGTACCTTGGGTGACCACCACTGTCATAGTAACGGCAGAAAAGGCGGCTCTGTCTGCGCGGCGTCTGTGAGGAAGATACAGCAGAGTGTGATGTGAAGGGGGTGATGTCACATGGTGGGGGTTGTTCCCTCACAGTAGCCCCTCCTCCTCCTCACCATCCTGAGGCCTTGTCCTCGACACAGCTCCTCGTAGTTCTGCCTCTCGGGCAGATAATCGTCCTCAGGACTGCCAGATCCTGCCTTCGCCTTGTTCCTCCCAGACTTCGCCCCCTTCTCCATCATCTGCTGCTTGGAAATCTGGAACTCAAAGTACTTCAGGTTCCCGTTTGCTCGCTGGTGACTCGGATCTACAGTATTTTAAGGAAAAACAAAGTTGCTGTAAAATAGCTGTCAAACAAACAGACAAAACTTTTTAGTAATTTTAGCTGCACCATTACCTACCCAGCTGCAGCAGCCTTTTGGTGAACTCCAGTGCTCTCTCCAGCTCCCCCTGCTGGTAGACTGAGAAGCTCAGGTAGTCCAGGACTGTGAGGGCATCAACAGTGCTGGATTCTCCAGCGTCCAACTGCTGCAGGGCCTGCATCATCCACAGTGACGTATGGTAATAGTCGGCCTCCGAGTACGCAGTCCTGCCAATGTCAAAGCAGTCGTCCACGTTCAGAGAGCTGCGGTGAGACGTCACACCTGAGCAGGGATGTGAATACAAACATCAGTGTGTCATTAATGATGAGTCACACAACTGACTGTAACAAAATAAAAGCAAAGACTTTGAGCAAACCACTGGCGTACTGGCTATAATGAGGAAACAGATGGTTAAAATAAAATAATTATAAACATATATATGTGTGTGTGTGTGTGAAGTCATCTGTGGCTGACCTGGCAGGTCTCCAGTGGAGATGATGTGTGTGTCCAGTTGATAAGTGTCCTGCAGCCTCATCAGAGCTTTGGCTGCTCCAGTCTGATCATCATCAGTGGGAAAATACTGTCTGTGTACAGTCAGGTTAGAGATGAAGACTGACACACACACACACACACACACAATACATGACATTAGTACAGTATGTGGTTATGTGGCCTCACATTGTTCAAAACTCTGAGTATATCATACCATCAGACACGTCCGTCAGCACCAGAGTCTCTAGCTCCGCCCACTCAGTGTTAAGTCTCTTCATCAGTTTAAAGGCGTTTACAGGATTTCCTAGATACCCCTCGGGGTCATGATTAGCACTGGAGGAGAGGACATCCAGTCTATCAGCCCACCTACACACACACACACAGTGCGCACACACACAGGTCAGATTTCAGAAACACACCCTCAGCTTTGAATGGACTTTTGTTTTATTGGAGACTAAAACCATTGATATAAACTGGTTGAAACTGGACCCCACAAAGACTTAGACCTGAGGAGTCCTAGATTAGGTCTTCAGCCCCAACACCCAAACTTTCTAAAGATGTAACCAGTATTACTGTAGTGTCTACTGGACAGAAACCACAGTCTGTTAGATGAAAACAATGTTTTATTTTATAAAGCGATGGTTTCGTTTGTCTAATACTTGACTCTATTATCAGGTGTGTTTAATGAACTATTCGGCTTCAGTTAGATACATTTTAAACTCTTAGTAATACAAACATGTCATTTTAGCCGTGACCTCTGTCTATTCTGCTGCTTTGACTCCATGTGATTTTAATGTTTCCTGATCAGAGTGTGTTGAATTCTAAGAAGGTTTCTTTCTTTGACTAAATTATATTCACCGCTATCATTTCCTTCTCACATTGTTGTAACATTAAGACACAACGAAATGTGACCTCTGTTTTTAACCTATCACCAAAGTGATGCAGCTTTTTGAACGTCTAGGGAGCAGTGTGTGGGGACAGTGCAGAGCACCTCAGTGGTAACTTGACAGCTGGTGGATTCGAACCTGCAACCTTCCAGACCCAAGGCCACTTCCTTAACCACCACTGCCACTGCTTCTACTCTGACCTACTTTAAGCAAACCCTGAACTTGTTTTGTTTGTGACTGACAGATGAAGTGAAGGCTTTTCCATGTGTTAAATGAGACAGACATACTTTTTGATTATCTCCAGTTTTTGCTCCTCCGCTCTGATGTAATCCTTTAGAGATGTGACCAAATCCTTTTCTGTGAAGAGCAGGTCACTCATCTGACCTGAAACACACACACACACACACACACACACACACACACACATACAAGAAAACAGTGATCAAAGATCTACAATGGGTTAGATGTTTTTTTTCCACAACGTTCCCATTGCAACTTATGACTCACCAATGGAGGTGAAGAAGTCATCATGAGCTGAGGAGGAAGTGAGAAGGAGCAGGAGACAGAGGGTTGGTGACGATCCACGCCAGGGGGCCATTAGACCTAAAACCAAAAATAATTATTCAAATTAGACATGAAGTAGATAACTGTTAGACAAAGGACAGGGAAAGCTTTGTCACATGTTTGCATACATTTGTTTACAATGTAAAAAAAAATTATAGTTATATATTAATTATTTTAAACAGGGCCAAAAACAAGAAAATCTAATATTTAGAAAAGAAAAAAAATAAACGTTTATTTAAAAATGAAATAAACAAAGATGCAAAAAAGGCAACAAAATAACTGAAAAATTGCTGTAAGTTTGACATATTTATCACTAACTGGTAAAACCTGAACAACTGCTAATGGTTATGCAAAACATTTCAAGAAGACACAACTAGTAATAATTACTACATTTCTGAAATGAAATCTGTTGTTGTGGTGGAATCCAGAAATTGACATTTAAAAAAAAAAATCATCGTTTTATTAAAATGAGCTACTTGACACCTCCTTATGTGCCATATGATGTCCGCAGGTCAGACCTTGAACCCCATTGCTATAATAACATCATCAAACTTGTCAGACGTTAAAAAAATGTTTTTAAAACAAATTTAAAAAACGTCTACTTTTATCATTTTGTAATCATTTGTTTTAAAATTTGAAAAAAGTAATTGTTTAAACTAACATCTATGAATGTGTGTTTTTACCTCAGCTGTTGAAGAAATTTCCAGAACGACAACGTCTTATTTTTCTTCTTCTGTCTTTAAACGTGTCTTCCTTTTGTGACGCAGTTTATTTTAACTATCATCGGAAAGGTCAGAGTTTAAACCATTTAAATCTGGTTACATCAGCGCTAGGATGGACGAAACGTAGTTTTCTATGGAGAGAAAATAAATAAATAAACACTTTCTGTGCTCTTTTTCCTCCACTGAAACAAACGCAAAGCCTCGTCTTCTTCTCTCTCTTCTAAGTGGTTGCTGACGCTGCTGCTTACCGCCACCTGCTGATGAGGAGGCAATGAAGGTGTTTTCAGACACTAAAAATACTAAACAAAATATCAAGATGAAAAAAAAAGCAACGTAAAAAACAGAATTGTAGTAACCGTTTCGTATTACGTTTTGTTGAAAATATACGTTTTGAATATATGAAAAAAGAAAACTATTAAATAATGACATATTTATGTAAATGTGAAAATATTATTCCATTATAAGAAATTCACAGACAGGAAGGTGTTCGGAAAACTGAGGGAGATTTGATTAAAATTTAAGATGAAGAACGGTGATAACGTTTTGCTAAAAAAAAAAGTTATTAAAAGGTATGTTAAATTACTTAAAATTTAAGATTAAGTTAAGTTATTAAAAGGTATGTTAAATTACTAAAAACACTGAAATCTGTTCAGATAGACAAATCATCTTAGACATTAATAAGTACTACCAAGAGGTGGAAGTATTGTTATTCAATCTTCTTAAACCTGTAAGGAATCTTCTTAAACCTGTTTCAGATTCTATTTTCTATTGAGTCTTGCGGGCTTCCGTTTCAGATTCTATTTTCTATTGAGTCTAATGACTAATTTGTTTTGAGCAATACCAAACAGTTACACACTGGGAGCCCATTTCTGCTCCTCTGTAGCCCCCTGCTGTCCATACACAACATTGCAAGTTAATCTTAATACGTTTTCATAGTATATATATTGATTATTAAGTATAGCAATTCAACAAAATTCATCAAAATACCACCACAGATCTAAGTACTTAGAGGATCAAGTTTATTACCTGGGGTATGTAGGTTTGAATCCCACCCTGGCTGTGTTGTGTTGAACCCTGAGCTGACTCTTCTTCTTCATCTATAGGTCAGATTATAGTGGACTCTTCATGTGGTAAGTAATAAACATTTATTTTCTCTTCAGTTTAAAGAAAATATTACATTTTCATAAATTAATCATTTTTCTTTCTGAAACAAACACACACATACACACTCTCTCTCTCTCTCTTTCATCAGCACCTCAGGGTCCTGACATACAGTGGGCAAATCAATGGTTGAAATGTGGAACAAAAGCACGATTTGTTCAGATTGTCCTTTAACAGTGATAAAAAGCTGATCAGAACAACATCTCAGGGCAGTTCAGGTCTGGTGGTAAAGTTGTGGCAGATACAGTGGGCTGTTGTAAAAACCACTGACAGGGCCAAGAGGTCTACTGGGCATGACCCACTTGCAGGAGACAAAGAAGAAGACCCAGGACATGCTGGAGAGATAGATTTGTAGCCTCATAAAACCTGAGGTCCCACTCTGGGACCAGGATTATTCTGGCTCTTTCTTCCAGTCTCTGTTCTTGCTCCTGGTTCCTACTTGTGCCTCATTTGTAGCTGTATCCAGGGAGCGGCAGACTCTGACCCTCTTTAGCCTCGAAGAAGGTGTAGGACAACGTGATGGTGTTCACCCGCGCCATGCGTGGGTCCTCGTCAAACTCTGGGTCAATGTAAAAGAAGACGGGCATGTCCACCTCCTCATGTGGGTTCAGACGTTGCTCCTCGAAACAGAAGCACTGGGAAAAAAAAGAAATCAGTCCTTGTGTCAAAGGACAAAGCTCAAATGTTCCAGACATGGTTAACGTGGGACTAAAAAGAAGCGTCTGGTACCTGGATCTTGTTAAAGTACTGGCCAGCCTCAAAAGGAACCACGTTGTAGGTGGAGATACCGATGATGGGTTTGTCTGTCGGGTTTTTGGCTCGATAAAAAGCCAACGCGGTTTCACCAGGGACCAGCTGAGTCAAAGACACATGCAGACAACTCAAATGAGACAACTCAAATGTGATGTGTCAGTAAGTTCTGAAGGTGGCGCTGTTCGTACATAGATCTCTGTCTGCTGTGGTCTGAAGTTCCACTGCATGCTGGCGTGTGTGTCAGCGTTGAACAACACCTTGAGAACGCGCTCCTTCACCGGCTTCATGGTCTCCACCACACTGGTGTCATGACCCGCCACCGCCGCACCACCGAGCCCTGTGGCCTGTCAGGTCAAACACAGGTCACTCAGTATCTGGTGGCTAGAAGTGGGTATGAATGTCCAGTCCTAAAGGTGCAGCCTTTGGACACTACACTCCCCCACTGTCCTTACCTGACAGTAGAGTCTGTAAAGTGGCACTGAGGCGTAAGACAGGCCGATCATACCAACACCAGCCGCAGCGATGTAGGTCAGCACCGTCCTGTTCCTCGTCTTCGTGTCCTCTTGCTCCTGACTCTTGGACTTCCTGCTGTGGCCTCTGTTTCCCCGGCCTTGAAGGTGCACAGGAAGTGTCCTCCGCTGTAGGAAGTGCACTGTCTGAGAGTGTAGTGTCCTCCCAGCATGGCAGCGTGCTAATGACTGGACACACTGTGACAGCATTGAAGAGGCATGAGGACGAAGGAGACAAGGAGGCAGCAGCATGGTCCTGAGGTCAGTCCACACACCTGAAATGATCACCATACAACAAATCGTTTTTACACAGTAGCCTTGAATGTGCTGATGCTGACGGCAGCAGCCTTCTGGAGGCTCTGCAGCATCAACTTTTCTTTCAACCCTAAATTTCACAAAGGGAACTTCAGAGGGATTAATAAAGTGCTATCTGTCTATCTTAAAACATCTGATTATTTAATATGCTAAATGAAACTGTTTCCATAAGTGCTGTGGTGGAAAAAACCTAAAAAAAAAACCTGAGGAACATTCCAGCAACATTGTCAGTAAATAATCCATATGAAATGTACGAGGCAGCAGCGGGTCATCAAGCACTGTTGTCTCTGTGACGTAAACACGCAAAGTATTTATATCATCTTAATGTTACATAAGATGATATAAATACAAAAGTATTTATATCATCTTAATGTTACAACAATGCGAGAAGGAAATGATAGCGGTGAATATAATTTAGTCAAAGAAAGAAACCTTCTTAGAATTCAACACACTCTGATCAGGAAACATTAAAATCACATGGAGTCAAAGCAGCAGAACAGACAGAGGTCACGGCTAAAATGACGAAGTGTTCGTATTACTAAGCGTTTAAAATGTATCTAACTCAAGCCGAATAGTTCATTAAACACACCTGATAATAAAACTGTTTTCTGTATTTCTGTGGCGTTCGTGTTTGCGATTCTACACACAGAAGTGTTAATTTGCAGTTTTTCAGGCGTTTTTTTGTTCACCCGTTTTTATAGTGCAACAAACCCAGAGGAGAAACTAAAACAAAGATCTAACTAAAAATAATGTGTATAACTCGTTACATATACAAAACAAAACATTTATTTTTATTACCTTTTCAAAAGAGACGATTTCTGTTTCAGCCCCTCTTCGGCCATGTTTCGTGTGTAACGTCGGTGCAACGCATAAATGCTTCCCGCTAAAGACGGAAAACATAGGGTTCCGCATTAATGATCTGTAGTTTAAAAAATACCGATTGTTTTTAATACTTTTTTGTTCTTTTAGTTATGTTAGCTTTGTTATTTCCATTATATGTTCGGAGTTTAAAAAAAAAAGTTTTGTACGTTTGCATCAGTTTACCCTCTCTACTACGGGGGCCCTAAAGGGACATGGGGAATATAAACATTTCTGGTCTTCAAAAGAAGGCAGAGGAGAGAATGTGGTGGTCTGTGTGGACACTGAAGACAGAGCAGCATGTGGACAGAGAATTCCTCCCGTTTCATACATTTCTGTTGGTTTTATTTCCCCGTTGCCCGTAATTTTCTGGCCCATTTTCTGGTTTCCTGTGCTAAAATCATTGCCTTTGCCTTTGGACTTCTGTGGTTTTAGTTTATAAATGAACATGAATATATCTTGGACTGAAGCTTATTTTTTATATACTTTAATGTTCATACAGACCGATGGCATTTGCTTAAACTACATATGCGTACACAACATCAGGAACCCTGACACCTGAAAAGGAAACTTCAGAGTGATGTGTGTGTTTGGGTGTAAAAAGAGATTTGTTAGAAGCAGACAAAACAAAAACAACAACTGTTTTCACACTTTATTCATGCATCTTCCTTTCATCTACAGTAAAAACAGACACAGATTCACTGTCACCACGATGCTAACACTGCTTCACACACACACACACACACTCTCTCTCTCTCTCTTTATGTCACGTCATTGTACGATCATGTCACCCATTGTGCTGTCATCAAAACACCAGACTGGTTGAAACAACAGTTTACTTTGCTGACATGTTGCTGCTACATCGGAATTATCAGTCAAAATGTCAACAGTAAAAGAAAAATTTTTTTTTAGAAATTTAATAAAATAAAAATAAAAAAACCTACAGTTATCAGCCAGTTAGAAAAGCTAATACTAGCTTTCAAATTAATATTTTTTAAAAAGTTACTGTTAGCAGCTAAGTAAATGCTATGAAACAAAGCCAAAGCACCAGGTTCTACAGAACCCCTAAAAGGACATGGGAAGAAGAAAAAAAGTTTCTAGTGAGCAGTTGAAAATTTAAGGTGAACACCAGAAATATTTGTTTTTTCCCATGTCCCTTTAGCGGCTGCTAAAGGTTCACAGCAGTAAAAAAGGGAAAACATTTATAAAATAACGTTCTCAATGAAAGCTAATTCAGCATTCAAGTTAACAGCTGCCAATTATGTCAAATTTACCTATACAGTTAGGGAAATTATGTACTGCGCTAGCTGTGTAAGCATTCTTTAAAACGTCTTGCCAAACTCATCTTCTTTTCCAGGTGAAGGTGCAAACATTAGCACCGTGCTAACAGGTAGTACACTCCTGCTGGGTCAGCATTTTTGCCCCTGGAGGAATTCTACTGCTAAAAAACAGGACTGGACTGTAGGAGGCAGCATTTGAAACTTTACAACATTTCAAACAAAAACATGGCAGGCTTGGATAGCAGAACTGTCCAAGGTGCTGAACCTGCACGGTTTTAAAAAAACATACAAAAGTGTTGTTTCAATATTTTTTACAACAACTGTGTAGGAAGAGTTTGGTTTAGCAGCACCACGTCATTAGTTAATCAATAATTCAATCATTGATTGACTGATGAATTAAAATTTAAACCAACAGATGGTACAGCTACGCACATTGAAGGCATCACAACGTACTAGACAACAGGAAGTTATTAATGTATGTGTAGCTACATGTTAGAGGGCCACCTACTGGCTACAGACATTCATCACTGAAACATATGGACAATAGCAGTTCTTCATTAAAAAAGTCAGTTAGTGTTTATCATTCTGTACTATTACTTGCTACCATAACAACAACTACAACTAATGATGTGTGTGTTAAGTGTTATGTGTTTGCTAAAAGCTACTGTTCCTGCTTCAACAACAAGACAATAATTTGTAAACAGGATCAAAAACTTGTGGTTGGCGAGTATTCAGCCTGGTACAAACTGGTCCAAACTGGTTCTGCAATAAAGAATCAAGTGTGTAGGCAGGACAACATAGGAGCTAAACATTAGGATGAGATGAAGTTGTTGTGATTAGCAGGAGAGTTTGGACATTTCACTATAATTACTGTATGACATATCATACTGTATGTATTAACGCACTCATTTCTTACGTCATTAGAATGTGGTAAAACATTACCAACCCTCACCTATTCTCACAGAACTACATGAACCAGTTATGGTCCACTAAAAAAAAAAACCTCATTTATGACAAAGACGTGATGTTGGAACGGCCACCAGGAGGGGCCACAATTTTCTGAGCAGAGCGACGCGGGATGTGGTCGTCAATTTGTGATCCTGAAAAACAGCAGGAGGCGTTTACCCAGAATGCACCTCAGATTTGGATGTTTTTAAGCAGTCAGATTAACAACTCACCTGCAAGAGTGAATCCTGACTGGTGGAGGTTTCTGGAGCCCAGCTGGATTTTTGGACATGTGGGCCCTCTGGTGGTCGGAGTGGGCGGGACAGACCTTGTCATACCGATGACATCATGGACTGGACCATCATAGTTTCCCCGGGGAACACCACGAGCCTCTGCCATCTGAGACACAGACAGATGAACATAACCTCATTAATGTCTAGTTATTAACTCATTAAGCAGCGATGAGTCCTGCGGCTGCTCAGTCACCCTGCTGCGGGCCTTGATCCTTTTGTAGATGGCGTCAGAGAACGCTTTCCGTGGGACAAAGCGTCCAGAACCTGCAGTCACGTCAAGTTTCCCGTCCTCCAGAACAACTCGCCCTCCACTGATGACCAAGGCCGGTACGCCACGGAGCTCCAGACCCTCCAGGATGTTGGTTTCCACGTTCTGCAAAAGGAGCCATAAGAGTGAGGGGTGGAGTCTGTAACCATCAGGACTAGTGTCCTGGTGCTGCTGTTACCAGGTTGTGGGTCTTGGCAGAAACAGTTCTCGTTTCTTTGGTGTTCCAGATGACGATGTCAGCGTCAGAGCCAACAGCAATACGTCCTGCAAATACAACACGACAACAATGTTTGACATAGTTATGGTTCCTGTTGAGCGGGACTCGACTGTAACTCCTGGTGACTAACTCGTCCACAGTGGACTCAGCACCTTTTTTGGGGTAAATGTTGAAGAGCTTGGCAGCGTTGGTGCTCGTCACTGCAACAAAGTCGTTTTCGTCCATTTTCCCTGTGGCCTGAAGAGACAAAAAAAAAACACTTAAAGATTCTTCTAATCTGTGTGGTTAAATACTGGACTGTAAAAGGTCAAAGGTCAGGTCCACTCACCACAGCTCTGTCCCACACCAGTGACATCCTCTCCTCGATCCCGGTGGTTCCTTCTGGGATCAAAGTGAAGTCGTCCTTACCCACAGCCTTCTGAGCAGTGGAGAAACCTGCATGAGCGCTGGACGCCACCTGCAGGTCGCCGCTGGGTACACACAGTCAGAATACTTAGTCACAAAGGTCAAATGATCTTTTAGACTGATGAGGTCGGGAGGGTACAAGTGGATGCTAACCATGCTAACAGTGAGGTCAGATACTGTGGAGTTGATGGGTCAGGGTTTAAAGGTGGGCTCATGACAAACGCAGCAGCTGTGGCCCAGTCTTTGGACCAATAGTGTGAGCCGTCCATAGCTAGGCTGGCTGTGATTGGTTCTCCGTACACAACCACACCTGTGGGCAGGAAACAGGCAGACTAGGGTTAGAAAAACGCACAACCACATTACGAGTCATTGATGATGTCATCACCTTTCTTCCTGGACTTGGCGATGACATCAGCAGCAGATTTGCTCATCACCTTGGTGACGTACAGAGGACAGTTGGCTTGTTTGGCGATGGTGATGGCCCGATATACTGCCTCTGTTTCTACCTGAAAGACACCATCACCTGTTACTGCCCCCTGCTGGAACATTTTATGACTGTCAGGAGAGGCTGGGAGACTTTACCTCCTCAGAATGAGACAAGACATGACCTTCAGGTCCAGTGATGCCAAGAGAGAGAAGTTTCTTCTGTTCCTGTAACAGCAGTGTTTTCATCAGTTCCTCTGTTCAGTAACGTTCTCTTTAGTTTAGATCGTTTTCTCAAACTCGACAAATGAGATGGACAAACGGACAAAAGTCTGTCTGAAAGACAGTTTCAAAACAGTCCACTGTCACCAGTTGAGTTTCATTATTGACTTTGACACTGTTCAGATCAGGATCATTCAGGTAAAAACATGACCTTTAACCTGTTTCTATTGTTGTTCCAGAATGTTCTTACCTCCTCGATGATGTCACCATTTTCAGCGTGGACCTGAGCGATGGCTCCAAGGTCACGCAGGACCCCGAACGCCTCATAAAGCTGCAGCCGGAAAAAGGAAAATATGGAAATCAAACGTTGTTACAGAAAAAAAAGAATAAGAAAAAAAATAAAGTGAAATTCTGCTCACACCTGAGAATCCGAGCTCTGGTATTTATCTTTGTACGTCATGAAGAAGAGACAGGAGTTCAAACCTGAAACAGAGGTGAAGACATGATGACATCACACCTCAGGTGAAGGCGTGATGACATCACACCTCAGGTGAACTCTGCACAAGTCTGGAGTGAAATAACTGACCTCTGTCTTTCACCAGTGTCTCTAGCTCCTCCCTCAGGCCGTCGTGCCAGCGGGTGACGTCCAGGTGAAGAGAGAAGTCACAGCACGCTGTCTGCTCGGCCGTCTCCTTCCACTGGTCAAACGCCGACATTAAACTAGTCCCCGGCTCCACCAGGACGTGGTCCACTGCAGACAGACCAGACGTTGGGACTTGAATAGTTTTATGGTCACGGGTCAGAACTTCACCAGAGACTAGCATCAGCACAGCTGAGTCCCTCCTGATGAGCGGGTACCGATCATACTGAGGGTACTGATCGCTGATCACTCACTGATGGTGGTGGTTCCTCCGCTCAGGGCGGCTCTGGTTCCATGGTAGAAATCATCTGCTGGGCTCAGACCCTTCTGTGGGGCCAGCAGGTTGGTGTTGGCGTCCACTCCTCCAGGGATCACCAGATGACTGTACGCGTCCACTGTCCTCACATCTGCCGGGACGATCAGGTTCTCACCAATCTGCCTGAACAGGAGACAGGAAGTGATGTCAGAGACACTGATGCCAAAGGTTTTACAGATTTCTGATTCGTGTCAGATGAAGGCAGGTACTTGATGGTTCCATCCTCCACGTAGACGTCAGCATAGAAGGACTGGTCATCGTTGATGATCTTTCCTCCTTTAATAAGCAGACGGTCGCCCTGGAAACACAAAAGGATCAGTCACAGATCGATCCACGTTTATTTTAAAACAGTTTATTTTAGCTTGGAGTCCCGTCCTGGCACTGGTTCACTGGGTTGTGATGGTCTGGTGTTGGTTTGAGTTCTGGTTCACATGTCAGACAAGTTAAATGTATTCATTAATTTATCACAAGGCTTTGTCGTAAAAATGACGTCACTTTAGTCACGTGACGTCTGACCCACTTGTGCTGGTTCCATTTTTTTCTTCAGAATGGATCTAAAAAAATAAAACTGACAATTCGGAAATTTCTCACGTCACATAAACGTTTCTGGCCCGTTATACTCTGAGAACCATGTCTGCTGTTTTCATCTGAACCACCGTGACAGGAATAACCGGAAAAGACGAACAGAACCGGCACATGTGGGTTAGAGCACACCCGGGATGGGCAGGTGGAGCCGAGGCACCGTCCTCCATCACTACGGTCATTACGGTAACTACAGCGGTCTGGTTCGGTTCGTCTCGGTGCGGTTCGGTTCAGCTCCTGTTGGACCTACCGCGGACCGGGCGCTGCTCTTCTTGTTCTGGAAAGACATTCTATATCGATAAAGATTCGGCTTATTGGCTCACGCTGCCAGTCTGCTATTGTCGTTGTCGTCAGCGGTGACGTCACGCAGTCTGCTACCTCACACAAAGAATGGGATTTCCGTGAGAGATTTTAAAAATAAAATCCTCTCACGGAAATTGACTTTCAAAATAAAACCTGAAAATTGGTTAAATGATAAACAATGAAGGCATAATTAGTTCAGTGACGTTTCATTTTAAACTGTCGAGAAAACGAATCTATTTAAAGCATTTATTATTGGTTAAACCTAGAACCAATCACTTGTGTGAGAAGTCACATGACTCTGATTTTTACCTCTGTTATTTATCCTGAAAACCTTTTACAATAAAAAGTGAAACCAGAATGAACCTCTTTTTTTCTGTAGTTCTGTCGGTTGTGTCCAGATGGAAACACCACCGTCTGTCCACCTCCTGTTCCTCCACCCACTCCTCCTCTGGTGGTGGTTTCCCTTCCATCCTCGGTTTGGGTTCGACAACCTCGCCGTCTCTGCGTGTTTGGGCTGAAAGAGTCAAAGTTCAGGGTCTTGTTTTCAAACGCTCCTTCAACGTTGCAGAACATCCCCCCAAACTTCATACGTGGGCGAGGAGAGTCGCAGCCAAGTCGAGAGAGGAGAGACGAGGAGTCGTCGTCCTGAGAGAAGCTGCGGACCGACATGACGGACTGATCTGATCTGAGACCTGATCTGATCTGAGACCAAGAGATACAGCAAAGAGGAAGGCTGGGAGGGTTAGGGAGGGAGGGAGGGAGGGAGGGAAGGAGGTGAGGGGCGGAAGAAAAGGAGGTCATGGAGAAACTGTCACCTCAAATACAGAGGAACACGCAGTCATCAGACTGTAACACCCACACTTCAGTTCAACTACACTACAACAAACCTGCCACAGTACACAGTACCACAGTACACAGTACAACTGATAAACTACAACCACGCCAACAGTCGTAGTCACAGTACACAAACAAACCTGCCACAGTACACAGTACCACAGTACACAGTACAACTGATAAACTACAACCACGCCAACAGTCGTAGTATTTACAACAAACCTGAACACAATGACAACAAATAAAAACACTGAAGATTTTACTGTGATTTCAGCTTCAGCACAAACTCAGACACACACAAACTCAGACACACACAAACTCAGACACACACACACAGGTCAGTGCCCATTACTGTTGTCAGTCACTGATGTTAAACTTTGCCTGTCACAACCACTTCAACTCACACACTCACAAGTGCGAGGACACACACACACACACACACACTGACACAGACACACACACAGACACAGCGTTCTTCATTTCCTCTGGTTTTGATCAGTAATTTATTCTCATTCTCTTCAGTAAATCACAAATACTCCTCCGTCTGTCTTGCTTGTGCCTTCTCAGTGCTGGAGGACGCCGGTTACATGATGACATCACACGGCGTTGACTCTTCAGCGTGTTTAGACTCACAGCACAGATACAAAAATATCCTGGTGAATCTTAAAAGACTCTTTTAAAGACTGTTTCTGTGTTTGTGTCTTGAAGATTCACAGAAGGATAAAACCAAACAAACAGGTGAAAACACTGAGGTGGTTACTTTGACACCGACTATTAAAAAGTTTAAAATCATCAAACGTAAAAACTTAAATAATCTTTCAGGATTAAAAAGCAAAAAAACCAATATGGTTTAAAAATTGTTAAAAATTAACTATTTTGATCATTCCACAAATATGTAAGCATTGTAATAATATAATATAATATAATATAATATAATATAATATAATATAATATAATATAATATAATATAATATAATATAATCTCAGTTCTGTACAGTCATTCAGGTGTTCTCTGAATTACTTTTTTTACCACAGGCGCACACACACACACACACACACACACACACACACACACACACACGCCTACTTTTCACGTTACCAACGCTAATCCAAGTTCTGTGACTAAAGGAAAACATTGCAGGCAAAAAAAAAGGAAAAAATCAGCCAATCAGAGAAAAAGTCATTCAACTAAATCTGGTCGTTCCTCAGGTGATGTCACCTGTGATGTCACCTGTGATGTCACCTGTGATGTCACCTGTGATGTCACCTGTGATGTCACCTGTGATGTCACCTGTGATGTCACATGTCACCCTGTGATGTCACCTGTGATGTCACCTGTGATGTCACCTGTGATGTCACCTGTGATGTCACCTGTCATATAGAGAACACTGAGAGGCAGAGAGAGAGAGAAAGCACCCAGTCACTGTTCTTCAGGTTAGCCAAGACAGCCAACCTGGTATACTGTTAGCGACAGGCTAACAGGAAGCTGTTAGCAGCAGGTTAACTGTACAGCCTGCCTCTGGTGGTTGTACTTGTTGTAAATTAAATTCTGTTGTTATGTAAACAGTTCCAGTGGGCTCGGCCTGTGTAGAGTCAGCTGATGGCTGAGTCCTGCTCTGATTGGCCGTTGAGTGGGGCAGTGACACCAGTGAGCTGATCTTCTGGACTCGCCCCCTTGTGGTCGCCTGGAGACACTGCAGAACAGATTGGTGGTCAATATTTAGAAAACGAAAACGAGTGTCAGACGTGAACATGAACAAAGTCAGACTGACCTGCTACGACCAGAGGATGAAGGCCAGAGAGAAGAAGAGGAAGAGGAAGAGGAACTGGAAACGACGAGAGGAAGTGATGAAGATCATGACCATACACGTACACTCACTCACACACACACACACACACACACACTGGTACCTTCTCCTCCAGCTCTTTGATCTGTCGTTTCTGTGTTTCGATGAACTCCTCCAGGTCTTTGTTTCTCTGTTCAACAACATAAACACACGTTGACTCTTCTCCACCTCTGCTGACCTCATGTTGACCTTTACGACACCCTCACTGATGCTGACGTAGTTTACCTGCTGTGTGAGCTGCAGCAGCTCCATCCTCTCTCTCAGGATCTGGGCGTCTCTCTCCCGCAGCTCGCACATCACACTGCGTTTCCATTGGTCCATGGATCTCCTCAGCCCCTCCCTCTCCTCCTCTGATAGAGTTTCACACAGTCTGCGCTCGTCCACCCCTAGCCCCGCCTTGATAGACTCCGCCTCTAGCTGCAGCGCCTCGTAGAGCATGGCCTCCAGCTCCAGGATCCTCTGTGGAACAGAAGAGACGTGTCGTCATCCTCATCAGAAACCAAGGCTTCCTGTGGTGTGACCTCCGACCTTGTGGGCCTGGTCCATGGACTGTTTCCTGTAGTCCAGCTCCTCGTCCAGGTAACCCTTCTGTTTACGGAACAGATCCTAAAACAACAGCAAACACGGGTTAGAGGTTGGCATGATGACATCACTGATGATGTCACAGTTTTACCTCTTCTGTCTCTATGTCCAACATCTTCTGCTGCAGAGCAGACTTGGTCACTTCAATGGACTCCAACCACTGACAGAGACACAGACAGACAGAGACACGGAGACAGACAGAGACACAAACACATTTTTATATTTCAGGCCCGTTTTCACCACTAAATAAAATTATTACAAACCGTAAAAAAAATATTTTAAAATGAAAGAAAATATTTCTGAGTTTAAACTCAAATGTGGCTAACCGATATTATCGGCTCGATATTAGCATATTCTGTATTATCTGTAAGAAACGTTTTTTCCTCCAATAATGAAAACCCGATAATGCAAAGTCTGGGTTTGGCCAAATGATGTGTGCTCTAAAAATCAGTCAGATGACTCAGAGCTCTGAAGAACTTTTATTGA